AAAAGAAATTCCTCCTGGACCCCATTTCCCAATTGAGTCAGTATCTTGGAGTAAAAAGGGGGCCTGAGAGTCTGAGTTTTTAGTACCAATCTAATAGGAAAATGAGTAAAGGACACTAAAAATAAAATATAAATGCTGCTTAATTATATGAAAAGGTATTCAGTCATATTCATAGAGAAATGCCATCCAACACTACACTACAACAACATTTTTCACATACCACATTGGCTAAAACCATTCACAAGTTTGATTACCTAGTCCATGGACATGGACAGTTATACATTGCTGATGAAACTGCAAAAGGATATACTTGTATAGAGAGAAATCTGTTCTTACCTACCAAAATGAAATACAGTTTCCATTTGGTCCAACAATTCTACTTCTACAAATCTACTGTAAAGATATACCCATATACATAGAATGACAAATGTATGAGGTTATTAATTGTGAAGTTGATTATAAGAAATACTGAAAAAACCCAAGTGTTAATCAACAAGGGGACTAAAATAAACTACGGTAGAATAAATCTCTCAATGGCTTAATAAAGAATGTGAAAGATCTCTATAAATTCAAAAGGAAAGATTTCCAGGAAATATATTTAATTGAAAAAAAGCAGAACAGTATACATAATATACTATATTTTGTATTAAAGAAGGAGCATATAGGTATTTATATTTATTTGTATTTGCACAAAGACATACTAAATGAACAAATAAGAAATCATAAAAATACCTATGGGAGCAGGAGTAACAGAGTAAAGGGACCAGAAATGGGTGTCAGACTTATTTGTGTATAACTTTTTATGACCTCTGAGTTTGAAATTTAAAAAAATGTATCATTAAAACAATTTAATAAAAACCAAAAGAACCTTATTAGAGTCATCAGGTACCAAAAAACATTTACTTATTTTCAAGGCACCTCTGCTAAATCCACCCACTTTTAAAAATTCTGATATTTATAATACCTTCTCTGATGGCGGCACCACATTCTTCTAGGACTTTAAGCATTTGACTTATGAGGTTCTTTACATGTCTTCATTGTCGGGGCTGATCTTGACACTGATACACTGGATGCTAGGGGCAGCCGAGGGCAGGGGAATGGGATAACTAAACAGTTAGGAGATAGCCTCTCTAGCCTCCAGGGCACAGAGTGATTGATAATCAAGATTAAATAAACAGAGAAGGACACTGCAGCCAGTGTCTGGAGATCTGCTCACTCACCCAGCCTGGCCTCTCAGCACAGGGTGACAGGGTCTAAAGAAGGCAGCTGCCAGACTGTATCACCAGTGATGAAAGGAGGAGTTGGGGCAAAGGGTCAATTTTTCAGGTACTCCTGAGGGAAAGCAGCATTTCTGCATTTTTATGGATCCTGGCAGTTGTGAAACTTGTCCTGAAAGAATAATTCTCTTCAACAGGATCAAAATCAGAGAGTATTTTATGCTGAAATGTATTCTTTTATATTCATAAAAGTTTGGGATTTTTTTAAAAAAGAAATTCACCTCTGAATTCCATATTCCATCCTAGATCTATATTTTATTTTATTTTTTAAAATATATTTTTATTGATTTCAGAGATGAAGGAAGAGGAGAAAGAGATAGAAACATCAATGATGAGAGAGAATCATTGATAGCTGCTTCTTTCATACCCCTTACTGGAGATCAAGCCTGAAACCCAGGTATGTGTCCTTTACTGGAATCAAACCCAAGACCTTTCTGTCCCACTGAGCCAAACCAGCAAGGGCCTACATCAACATTTTAAATGCCACTAGCAATTAAGAATGCTTTTATGTGCTAGGTCATTCTAAACCCTCCCATATAGGACTCTGGGCTGGCAAAAGCAGATGGGCTTATGCTGCACTGGAATTTGCTCAAGCCTGGATAAGTTTGTTAAGCTGATGCTTGAAATCTTCAGGTAAGTTTCCTGGTATTCATAGGTCTGTTATCTATAGTTTACATACATGTAGGAAGAAGGAGCATGTGGGGGGACAGCTCACACTGGAATTATATGTGGGTCTCTGCTTTTTAGGTCCAGTAAAATCCTGGAAGAGTACAGAGTGCTTGATTTATTTTTAAGGAAAGTGAGGCCATCTGATAGATTTCCAGCTGAAAATTGGTCAAGGCTGGAGTTTGGTTCACTGAGACCATGAACACGCCAATTCCTACTTTCCCATGGCTCACTCCCAGACTTGGCTGAAAGTACTATGGCCTTTCTCATAAGGGTAACCTGGGACATGACACAAAGACTGAAAGGCCTTCCAGGAATTAAGTGAGGAACAAGATAAAAGCACTCCAAACCATGTCCAAGCTGCCATTCAGTGACAGGCAAATGCCCAAATCACCATACCTGATTTTCAATAGGGCAAAAAAGAAAACTTCAGTCCCTCTACAGTTCATATTCAATCCAGATGTCTGGAAAGCAGCAGGATTAATGCTAACATTTTGCCAAGGTACCACCAGATGCTTATAGCAGAACCATATAGAGGTTGAGGTAGGAGACATAATAATTTCCAAAACATCCCTCAAATAAGGCATGAGAATTCTTTGTGTGAGAGTCTGTGGTTAACACATTTGACATTGGGAACACCTGGAGAAGAATTTTCATTACCAGCCAGAACCCATTCCTGCACCGGATTGAATGCCTACTTCCTCTCCAGACATCTGGATCATAATTGAACTCTCTGGCTCATGCTACTATTTGAAAATCCAGGAAGCAAATGGTTGAATCCCAGTTAACCACTGAACATGTGCCTTTGGGTATTATCACCAGGAGTAGTAATACAGCCTAACCTTGCAGAGCAATTGTGAGGGTTCACTGTCAACATTCTGTAAACAACAGAAAATGATTACAAGTATTTTTCAATTATAGGTGCTCTACTCTCCATGACAGCTCACTGATCTCCAGATGCCTGCCAGAACCAACGGTGGTGATGATGACCACAGTAATAGTGCTCGTTATGTGACGGCTATTTACATACATTGCCTCATTAAATCCTCACCGCAGCCTGGAAATATAAACTATGTTCTAAGCGGAGAATTAGGGAGTGGCTTGGCCCAAAATGTTCTCACCACAAAGAGGCAGTGACTGTGTTTCTAAAATGGTTTGTTTGACTCCACAACTTCTTTGGTGTCTCCTGTTTGTATGCTTGTTGTTTCAGTTAAGGTAAGGACATTTAATTGTTGTTCCCCCTGCCAAACACACACACACATATAATACATAGCACCTCCACAGATAAATCACTGATCCACAGTGGTTTAGGGTGGGACATTGGGAAGGAAGCATTTAATTTTCCTTTGGATCCATGTCAGGAGTGTAAGGTGGGCTAATGAAAGAAAATGTATAACTGAAACTTCCTACCTGAATACATTCTAGAGATCTACTGTACAACACGTGCCTAAGGCAGTGGTCGGCAAACTCATTAGTCAACAGAGCCAAATATCAACAGGACAACGATTGAAATTTCTTTTGAGGGCCAAATTTTTTAAACTTAAACTTCTACTAATGCCACTTCTTCAAAATAGACTCACCCTCTCTGTGGTATTTTGTGGAAGAGCCACACTCAAGGAGCCAAAGAGCCACATGTGGCTCTCAAGCTGCAGTTTGCTGACCACTGGCCTAAGGTTAGCAATACTGTACTATGAACTTAAAAATCAGGTAAGAGGATCGATCTCATATTGTGTTTTTACCACAATAAAAATATGACTTAGAAAGCTAGACCATATTAAAAATCAAATTGACATTATCATGGCATAATTACGACTATGTGTTCAATTATACTAAGATCACATACAGAAAAATCTGTGAGCTAGTGTTATATGTATTGAAGTTAAATGTTAACTAGTGGGGAAAGTCTCTTTTACATCCTTTCAGATGTTTTCAGATGTAATGTATTTTATTAAAAACATACAGAATATATAAATGGTAGAATAGGAAGTATTTTCTTTATAGTTAAATGAGAATAAAAAAGTACACAAAGCATGTAAGAAAAAGGTTTAGCTGCTGTAGCTCGTTTGGCTCAGTGGCTAGATTGTCGGCCCTTGGACTGAAGGTACCAGGGTTAGATTCTGGTCAAGGGCATGCACCTCAGTTGCAGGCTTGATACTGGCCCTCTAGGTAACTAATTGATGAGTCTTTCTCACATCCATGTTGTTCTCTCTGTGTTTCTCCTCCTTCCTTCCACTCTCTAAAAAATCAATAGAAAAATATCCTCAGCTGAGGATTAACTTATTAACTAACTAACTAACTAACTAACTAACTAACTAACTAACTAAGGCCCTGGAGATGTAATAATTAGAGAATAAATGGGTGGGGCAGATTTGGGGCTTCTGATTCTGAGGCTTAACTACTCCCAGTAAGTCTTTCAAAGATCCGAGGGGAACTGCAATGAGTTAGATGTCAGCTGCCCAATGACACTTCAAGAGTCCCACATGCATCATTAATATGAAAATTGCGAAAACTCTACATTCAGCCAAATTCTTCTGCTCTCCAAAAGGACTTGGGCATAGTTCAGTCTACATTTCAGTGACTTTTCATTTATCTTAACAGCTTTTTTCAGCCCTGGTTAATTCTCTCCCCAGCCTTGCCAGACTCAAATAGTTCAAGGGTCTGGCAGGTTCCCATCTGTGAGTGAGTTGATTGCAGCATGAAGGCTGCAGGAAGATCAGATGATGCTACTCACAGGCAAGAAGACTCAGAATCCAGAAGAAAATTTCTGAATACCTCTCTGGTTCTCCCCATGCTGTATTACTTCTCTCTTTTTTCTCCACCTTACTGGCTTTCAATCCATAGAGTACTTGCATATTTTTCATTTAGTGTCAAAAACTTAAACCAGAACCATCAGAAATGGTTATGCAAATAAACATTAGGCACAACTAAACTTTGTTGCCAAAGGAAAGAGCCCTCTGGATATCTGAAGTTTTCTGTGATTTCCCACCGACCTCTCCCATACAATATGTCCCACCTTAGCTAAGAGAAAAACAATATAATTAAAATGGTTAAGAGAACCTAGCTGGAAGTGGTCGATTTTCATGGTGCTGTTGTTGACAGGGCCAAAGACGGTGATCACAGAGATTTTCCTGGTGGCCATCTTGCAGAAACTTTCCAGATATTCATCTCGCTGTTGCACATACATGTTGTTCTCAACCTTAGGAGCGGTGATCAGCTAGAGGTGGGCGAAGGCAAGCAAATATTAATTCATAGTGATAGTTTTACACTGAGGCAAAATCCAAAGGGATAACTTGGAATAGAGGGTTGGTAGTGACTTGACACCAAAACTAAATTAAACTAAGTTAAGCTATGCTAAGCTAAACTAAATTAGACTATATGGTTCGATTGGACAGTTAGCATAATCAGGGCCAAAAGACTGTTTGTAAAGGGTATTTGTTTTTAAATGGCTCCAGGAAGCTTAGATTTTTCTCTCATTTCTACTCTTTACATTCCTTACTAGTGCCCATGTGTCTTGGTTTTCTCATCTGTGAACTCTGCACAGCAGAACTTATTGTTCAAGGCTGTTGTGGACACTTGATAAATACTTGACATGTAAAAATTGCTTAACAAATCTTCCTTATCCTAATTGGCTGCTCTGACATTTGTGAATTGAGTGGTTTCTACTATTATTTCATGTCTCACAGGGTTGAGAGAGTTTCATAGCCAGGCCATGAGCACTCTGGAACAATCAATGGCTGATGTCTGCTATGAACACTGTCTAATCATTTGCTAACTCATCGCTGGGCTCAGAAGTCAGCCTTTATACATGTTATCCCATTTGATGACATTCAAATGTATCAGCCACTTCTCTACTTGCCCATCTAACCTGATGAAATGATTCTGAAGTCTGTCACATGGCATTTCTCAGGGGGGAAGTTCTTTCAAATTCTTTCTCAAAACGGTTAATGCCTGGTCCCAGCTTGATTCTGCTGTTTATTTTTCTCCATCAGAGATGTTTATTGCTTCCTGTAGGCTTTCCCTTCTAAGAATTGCCTATGCTTGACAAAATATTATCCCTCATGGAAATCAAGATGTGTGCAATAATTTTAGGGTGGAACATTAACAAAGGCTTTCTTGGATAAAGTTATATCACTTTCTCAGATTGTTAATTATTTTAAGTAGACATGATTTCATTTATTTTTTATTTTGTGTTTATAAGCCTGTTCCTTTGGACATGATGGGTAGAATATGCTTGTTTAAGAAATGTAATTTTCCAAAAGGAAAAATAATCAAATTTATTCATTGATTCTACTTAGCCTTAAAAAAGACTTAAGGTGGCTATAAAAAGAGATAGTAATGGTATTTTGGGTTTGTTTGTTCGTTTTTAATTAGCTATATGACATCTGAAAATATTTGCTTAGGTGTTTATGGTAACCCAAATCTTGGGAATTTTATTTTCAGTTGGGATGTTTTATGTTTTTCTTGCTGGTTATTCTTTGCTTATAAATACACTATTTTGAGATAAATAAAGTGAATGTTTAAGGGAGAACACAAAATAGTCAAAACAAAGGTAAGATTTACTTGTTATGATTTTGGACTCCTTACTCTAAATGAAGGATAAGCCCATGTTTAGAATGTGTTTAGAGGAGTCTCTAGAGTCCAGTTGCTCAGAGGCTAAATGACTGATAATTATCTGCCTCTATAATTTCAAATCCATACATAGACTCCATTTTATTCATCTCACACTTTGTCATGAACTTTTAAAGTCCATGAACAGACCATGATATGACAGGATTTCAAGAGTCTTCAAAATGCTCTCTGGCCTTCTCCCCCTTGTACACACCAGATAATTGAGAATTTCACATGATATATACAGAACTTCATCCTCCCATCTGGAAGTTTCTCCCAGAGATCTGTGAAAACAGTAATCTTAGGCCAATGGATACCCAATAGGAATCACACAGTAATAAATCAGGAGCTCTAATAATGTTTATTTTCACCTTGGGACCTTTTCCCAAGGGTGCTTTAACCCACGTGGGGGGTGACATTCATCTTTCATGACTCATTTCCCAGTTCCTGGCACTCAATGATCTTGCCCTAGGCTCTCTCTTACTAACCTTTCTTCTTACTCTCCTTTATGTGCCCTCTTCACCCATAGCTAGACCATTCCAAATTACAACATGAAAGAAATCTTGGCAGAGTGGCACAGAGAAATCGTGATTATAGTCAAAGTTGGAGGGCCTGCATTTTAATCCTTATTCAACCCCTAGCTTCCATGTAGACTTAATAAGGTCATTTAACCTTTTGAACCTTACTTAGTTTTCTCATCTTTACACTGAAACAACTTCCCTGCCAACCTCACAAAATAATGAGAAAACTGAGCAAAATAAATAAAAAGATGCGTGTAAGGCTGTATGTACCCAAGTACCATACTTGTATGTCGCCCCTGAATAGTTCACCCACATTCCTTCCTCTGCCTTGGCCTATCTTACTCATCCCACCCAGAAAACCCTCTGGTCCCCACCAACGTATCTGATGCTGAGACATTCTTCAAATGCAGCATCCTCCCTACAGTCTTTTCTATTTCTCAATGATCTCTTTTTCTTTTTCATTACTGTACTTAGAGTCTGCCCTGATCACTTGGAATTTATGAATTGCCTTGATTCACTATTATATTTTATGCTTATGGCCCTGAAGCCCCAGCCCCTACCACTGTGCCCATGGTTTACAGGAGAGCAAACTCTGGCCCACATCCCCCAAGTTACATGGATCATTCCAGCCAGGAGAGGGGAGCGACTCAGAAACACAGTAGTCCCCTGCCTATGAGGGTCTAGCTGCAGTCCACAAAACAGCTGGTTTAATGTGTTCATCAAGTTCACATCAGGGAAAGTAGAAGAGGCTGATCATCTGAATATATTTTAAGGTTTCTTTTTCTGTGTTTTGACATCTCCATCCAATTAATTTTCTAGTTTGGCAGTATTTCAAGCAGTATTTAAAATGGTGACCATTTCCAATCCCTCCTTCCTAAAGAGAGCATCCTAGGACTTCTCATTATTGCCTGGTACTTGGCCTCTTTCTAGTTTGTTGGCGATAAATCAGGACAAGTCTCTTAAATTTAGAACTGTGTTGTGGTACTTTTTTATGTTTCTGTTCCAACAGTGTATTGGCACAAGGAGCCTCAGCATATAATGAAGCCAGTTTACATTAATAAATGGAGCGAACAGGAATGGGAAAAGCTAGGAAGTATTTTAAGTCTCAGATCATTCTACATATTGTGTTAGGCTAAAAATACTAGGTTTTCATGAAATTCTGGAATATAGTACTTAAGGTAGTAGTCTGTTTTAGTAAACCAGAGCTTTATATTATTTTCTAAAATTAAATTAATTAAGTATATTGCTATTCGAATATTCAGATTTCTGAAGTAAGGCTGAAAGTATCAACCCACCTGAATTACCAGAGCTTCAAAGAATGCTTAACCTTGAACTTGAATCTCTCCAATTCAGCACTATGAGGCCTCTTCTTAATTGACAAATTGGTAGATCCTTGGTAAAAAATGATGGTTTGACAGCTACACTACACATAGTCCAATGTTGAAGTGATAAACAGCTTATCTATATTCTCACCATTGACACCCCCACACTGACACCAGTCAGTCTGAGGGATTAGGTTAACTGGGATTCAATCTATTGTTCTTGACTGACTGTCGGGAAAGCCAGCCAGTTGAAGTGCAGAGAATTAGCTGGGTATTCAAGGCAGAAATTCTACATTGGTGCTTCGCACAAATGTTGACAATTGCTACACTTTACCATTTATCTGAGTAACTTAATGTGTGAAATGAATTTTTGGAGGTTCTAGCAGGGGAGCGCAGCTACTCGTATACCCTTGACCAAAGACCGGTCCTCTCCTCTTGGGGGAAAGTCATCCTCTTTGACGGAGCGCACAGCTTCGGGAGGGATGCACATGGATTGGTGAGGGAGGAGGGGGACACCCGCCTAGCCAGCCAGATCAGCCGAATCAACCCTGGCGATCAATGGGGTGACAGATGTCACAGCCAGATCGCCCTCACATCCTGAAATGAATTTTTAAATATCTGTGTTCAAATAATAAACAGGGAAGTTTCTCCTTCACTTTATGGCATATGCCCCATAGTCTCTTCACAGGAATGGGGGAGTGGCTTGAGCATGAGCTTTAAAATCAGACATACCTGAGTTCTAATTCTGGCATTGCCATATAATAACTGTTCACTTTAGGAGCCTCAACCTCTCTAAGCTTCTGTTTCCTTGTTTGTGAAATGGAGTTAAGTCTTTCTTCACGGGATTGTCAAGAAAAATTAAACTGCACAGTCACAAATAGCCGCTGGCAGAATGTGCCCCTTTTCTTTGACAGACTGATAGGCAGGGGGTTTGAAGAAATGACCTCAGACCCAAGATGAGGACACCTGGGTGTAGTCCCTTTGAAGGCTTCTAGGATGCTGTTCACCCAGCCACAATCTATACCATTGCTGCTAGTGTTTCTCTATTTCATATCTAAAAATGATATTAATAAATACAAAGCATTGGAGTTTTGTGATAAATTGTAACAGGGTACCAGGTTACTGAAACGTTGGGAAGATAAGCTCAAAGGCCAGCACAGTTTCTTGGAATTCAAACCTCATTCAAGTTTGAGCTCATCTGTTAGTCTGAGGCCAGTCAGATGTATATGTTGTCAGCTGAACTTGAACAAAATGCAAAGCCTTAAAGAATATTAATTGAATCCCCAGCTTCCAGAATAACATCAGCCATGTTGGGTGGGGAAAATGAGTGGAAAAATGATCAATGGCACCAACTTTGTTTTTCACCCAGAAACACGGGTCTCTTCTCTCTCTGGTCAGAGTCTCTTCTCTCCATCTTTTGATATTGCATCATGTTTATTTCATCTTGTCTTTCTAATCTATTCTTATTTTAGATGTCATTGGCTATTTAGAAAACACAGTTTAGATATAGTCATCAGCTGAGCACACAGGGATTATAAGACTGAAATGCCTCTTGTTGGGGCTTTCTGTGTAATAACAAACCCAGTCCTCTTACCAGCCACCAAGAGCAACGTTGCCATGAGCAATCCCAGCTGCTTTCTGTTTTGCCTCACATGACATCAGCAGAAACTGTCATCTGAGTTTCATTTGCTAGAAATTTATGATCAGGGATACTGTTAAAAGCAGAAAAGGCCCAGCTGGGCTTTCAAATCTCTGACTAAGGGAGTAGAGAGAAAGGGAGGGAAATAAAAGGCATGACTAATACTAGGGATATGTATAAAAGCTCTTTTCTTTTGACTAATGGAAGCATTTACCCATAGGTGCACAATTATAATCCTGACAGTTTACCCATGATTATTTTTTGCCTGGTTAAAACCTGTCCATGAGGAACACTTTGCCTGCCTTGTTGGCTAAATGGCAGGATTGGGCGATGTCCTTTAGCAGGCTGGACAAAGTCCCAGGTACTCAGGATGAGGGCAACAGAGCACACCACTAATGCTTTCTCCCAGCTCAAAGAGTGCAGTTTCTCCCCCATGGGTTCTCTAGCAAAACATTTAAGTACCAGGTAGGGTTCTACTCTGAAATCAGTGATTCTTTTGGTTTTACTGGAACTTTCCTATTCAAATTTATATATTCTGGGAATAACCAAGTAGCTGTTAAACTACTCTAGCAACCTATCCTCTGCTACCCTTAGTTTATATAGTTACTTTAAGGCTCTGGTTAAAACAAATAACAACATACAAAAAAAATAACACACACACACACACACACACACACACACAAACACATACACAAAATCTGTAGAATCAATAAAAACATAGGTCTTGTCCTACCACATAAATACACCATTGATGGGACAGCTAAGAGAATTTAAGGTCATGCCCCACCCATGATAAATACCACAAGGGACTCTGCTCTAAATTACACTTCAAATGCACATTTAAGCTTTTGAAACCACTAAAGATTAGATGGGTAGCAGAGTCTCTCTGACTCAGAGGATTAATCAAAATTTAGGCCAGATTGAAAAAAAAACAAAAAAAACAAACATAAAAACCCCCTGAGCAATGCCCTGAGAGAAGAATGCCTAGCTGTTTGGTGGGGAAACACAGGGTGTGGAGTCACCTTATACCTTCAGTAGGATAGATGATGTCCTCAGAGTCACCTTTGTACCTGAGGACATCATTCTTGATGCATATCACCCAACATTAATTCCTGATCTTTTCCCCTAAATTATATAGTACTCTTTTCCTCATGGACAGCCTGGAGTAGAATGCAACATTAAGAAGCTAGGGATAAAATCCTGGAAGGGCACTAGAAGAGGGGGTAAGGAGACTTGGATAAACAGAATAAACCATGTTCCCTTTGCTGATGAGAAATGCCTTTACCTTTACGATGAGCTAATTCCTGTCTGAAGCCCTTTTTCTGGGGTTTGACAAAACGCTGTTGTTATTCTTTGGATGGTGGCAAGTAATGGCAAATAGATAGCTACTGAGATGTAACTGTGACTCATTCAATCCTACTGGCACTCAGAAATAGAGACAAAGTGGAAGTAAGGACTGCTTGTCTCCTTACACACACACACACACACACACACACACACATTCATGTTCATTTTATAGCGTCTCAGGGCAACTGACATCTGGACTCCACATTCATATGTGTCTTTAGGGTGTTGAAAATTAGAGCAGCTAATCCAGCTCCTCACACTCCATCCTTTTGGCCTCTTATTGGTTGGGCAGTGATGGAAGAAACAGCCTTTTCGATAAAGGGATGAAGATATCAGACTGCTGATTTAAAAACATTCCTGAGGGCCACACCAAAAAGCGCCCTTCCCCACTCCCAGTCACACCTACTCTCCACCAGGACTGTCTTACTCTCCCCTTTGTGTTTCCCAATTCTTGATAGAGACTAATAGGGGGAGAGAAGAGAAACCTTGTTTATTTCACCGTACCCATGCTTCTGGTTTCTCAGATCATAAAGAGAGAAACCCTTTTCCTAAGGGTGTCAGAGTCAATGCATACCATTTTAGGAACTTCTTTATTCTGTTGTCATTTATTGAACTTAATAAAATGGAGAACTATCCCTTGGAGATGAGGGATGGGTCCTGATGGGTTTGGAGAAAGCTGGCCACTGGTGCTTCCCTGGGCTCATCTCTAAGGTTCCCCCATCGCCAATGGCTCTGAGTCTGTGTGTGAAAGACTCACAGAGCATCGAAACCCAAAGGGGCTGCTGCCCGGGCCGCTCTGCCCCGACACACCTCCCCACCTTCTGTACACCGCACAGGTGCAGCCAGGCCAGCAATGTGGATTCAGAAAAAAACAACACACCAAATACCCCCTCAGCCCCCAGCACAATGCCCAGGAGAAGGTTACTTACGAGGAGCCTTCGCTTGCCTTCGAAGGAGCCCAGCAGGTCGGCCACCAGCCTCTTGGGGCTCGGCGGCAGGTACCTGGAGGTGGGCTTCAGGTGGTGGCCGTCCTGCTCAGTGGGGCCCGTCTTCTTCTTCTTGCTCTTCTCCTTGTCGGGCCGGCCCTTCTTCTCTGCCTTGTCCTTCTTCGCCTGCTTCTCACTCTTGAGCAGCTTGTCTGCCTTCTCGCTCTTGGCCTTTTTCTTCTTCTCCTTCTCGGGCTTCTCCAGCTTGTCGTGCTTCTTGGCCTCCTTGGCTTTCTGCGGGGGGACGTTCCCCGCCTGCAGCTCTTCCTCCAGCTGGGCGGCCGTGGGGGGCCGGCTGGGGTCGTATTTGTCCTCATACTCGTTGCTGAGGATCTTGTCCTGCACTTTCTTTTTGGGGGGCTTCCCCTTGGCTGGCTTGGAAGGACCTGGCACCACCACTGCCGGGTCCCGCCGGTCCGTGCGATTGTCCCGGGAGCGGCCGGGCCCGGCCCTGGTGCCGTGCGCCCCGGTGGGCACAGGCGAGGCGGGGAGGCCCTCGGAGCCGCTGGCCTTGCTGGGGGGCCTCCTGGTGCTCGGCGGCGGCGGCCTCTCCCTGGGCAGCTCCTTCCTGGGCGGAGGGTAGAGATTCTCCGAGGCAATGACCCATCGGGCAGTGGTCACCTCTGTGGCCGTGGCTGGGGGCCTGTGGGCATCTGAGAAAGGGTGCAGCCGCGGGGTCCAGGGCCTCTGCGTGGTCGGGAACGCCGTGGTGGTGGTCGTGGGCCTCGCAGCCGCAGTGACCACCCGCGCGGTGGCCCGAGTGGCCGTGGGGGCGGGAGCGGGGGGCAGGGTGGTGGCCCTGGGGGTGGGGGGCGGCAGCGGGGGCGCGGCCGTGGTGGTGCTGGTGGTGGTGGTGGTGGTGGCCGGCTTCCTGGGCACCTTCCCCCGACTATCCCTGGTCGGTGGCACATGCACCCTGCGCAGCTCTTCCTTCCTCTTCTCAGCGCTGGGGCCAGCCCGCTCCGCGCCCTCCACCACCACCTGGCCCTCCACCCCCGAGGCCTTGCACTTCTGCACGAAGCCCTTCTGCCGGACCCGCTCGATCCTGCGGATGGGGCCCTGGTCGATGACCTCGTACATGGCCTCCAGCCGGACCGGGTAGGGATAGCGCTCCTCCACCTGCAGCGTCTTCTTCAGCAGCACCATGCCGAACTTGCCCTTCTCCAGCTTCAGGAAGCCCATGAGCTTGGGCACGAGGCCCGGGTCGAGCGGCTGCTCCAGCACGCGGCCCTCGCTGGTGATGCGGCGCACCGTGCCGGCCTCGCCGCCCGCCTGGTGGAACAGCACGATCTGCTGGATGTGGCGCTCGGCCAGCTCGCAGTACACGTCGTCCTTCAGGAGGCTCATCATCAGGCGGTAGTAGCCCTCCGCCGCGTGCGGCGCCGAGATGACCCACACGCGGTTCTTGCCAGCGAAGCTGGCCAGGATGTTGGGGGAGCCGGACCCGGAGGGGAAGCGCAGCAGCGATCTGGACCGGGCCGAGGATCCCTCATCGCGCACCATGTCCTGGGGGGAAGGCCGGGAGAAGGCTGTTGCTGCTGCTGCTGGCCTCCTCCGTTCCGCTCTTCCTCGCAGGGCCCCACCGTGGAGGTCAAGCGGGGCTGGCGGCGGGACCTTTTCGTGGGGAGCCATCCGATGCACTGTTACACCACCGCGCCTTCTCGGGAGAGGCTGAGGGTGCAGTTCTCCCAGCGGGGTCTTCTGGGTTTTCTGAGGCCTCGACGGCGGTTGCCTCGGCGGCCGAGGGGGCCTCCTGTGGTAGACAGGAGGCGCTTTCTGCCATCCCTGGTGGCTCCCTCTGTTCACAGCCTGGGGGTGCGGTTCCGACCCACACACTAGCCACATGGCCACCAGCATGGCCAAGCTGGGTCCCATTCTCCAGGTCATGGTGCAGTCCACTGGGAGAGGCGGCAGCGAGGTCCGAGACAAAAGGGGAGAGGAAGGGGAGAAAAGAAAGAAAATTATTTAATTGCAAACAGCTGGGCAGCATGTTCCCTTTCTCCAAGTGGGCCAACGCCTGGGGGGAAGGGGCGGTTAGGGAAGAATAAGGAGGGAGGTCAGGGAATGGAAAACAGGGTGAGATCCTGTTACGTTTAAGCCCCTCTGATTTGTCAGCACTTAGCAGAGGCAACGATGGTCAGCAGGAAACCCAACTCGGTGCCCCATTCAGCGGGCTCTCACCCTTTCATCTGACTCTCGGATGCTCCGGAGAAAATGCATACGGAGCGTATTAATTATGGCAAGAACCTCGTTTCAGTCCTTCAAACAAGCAACAAAGAAGCAATCACACCGAAGGCAGAAAGGATTACACACTTACACTGTGGCTCATGGAGATGGAATGCGGAGGGTTTCACAGGCAAGCTGAAGTGTGGTCCCAGGACAGTCTCCTAGACGAAATGCCTTTCCTCCCAAACCCTCTGTCTCCTCTGCGAGGCTGGGGCACACGCGCTGCAGCTCCAGCTCCCAAAGTCGCCTGTCCTGACCCCAGGGCTCAGCCAGCGGCTCTCTGCTTCTCTTTCAGACTGTCTCTTTACCTTCTTGACAAGCAGGGTGAGGTGGTGACCGGAGCTGTCCTTTTAGGTCCTTGCATCTCCATTTCTCTGCAGTTTCTGCTGGGTCGTCTTGTCTCTGTGTGTGTCAGTCCCTGTGTGGACAGACAGGAAGCCCCTGAGTCTCACTCTTGCTCTCTTCAGAGTTCCAGGATCCTCCTTATCACCCTTTCCCCCACAGTCTGGCTCAGTCCCTTTGTTTCCGAGCGGAAAGGCACTGGGATTAATATGTTTTCCAGGCTGAGGGAAAACACAGGAATGTGATGTTGAAAATAGGCTTTTTCTCTTTTCTCCTGTGCCTCTCTCCTCCCTTTATTTCTCCCCTCCTCTTTTCCTTCTCCTTCGTTTTCTTCTTCCTCTGGCCTGGATTCAGTCCCAGGAATGCCAGGACAACCTCAGTTTTTATCCAGACCAAACTCAAACAACAGCAGCCACTGGAAATCAAGGAAACTTCACTAAGAATTTAACAGATCAGCAAAACACCGCCTCCTTCTCATTTCAGCACATTGAGAGTGGACTCGACTTGGTGAGGAGGGAGAGGGCTGTTCTTTGGGTGGGGGAAAGTTTTGAAACACTACCCATCATCATAAATCACTTTAGAATAGGATGGCTGAGGACTTAACCCCTTCCACACCGAGTAATCAGAATATTCTCCCTTCCTGTCTGTGCTCACGCTGCACTTTGGGACGGGAAAATTCTCAGATTTCTGCATTTGGCTGCTTGGTTTTCCTAGAGACAGATAATCATTTGGGTCAGGGTGCTTGGCGTACACACGGAGAGAGTATATATATTCATAGTTCCATGGATTTTTAAAAATCTTTTTCTCCCTGCTTTATGCATTTAGTTTGAGGTTGGAAAGGCCTGTGGAAAACATGACTGGGTTGTTTTTATTTTATGCTAATTGGAGATCATATTACTGTATTCTTGCTCCTAGTTTTCTCTTTGGCATGGAAGGAAGCTGGTAAAAGGTTAGAAATGCAGGCAATAGCTGTTGTTCCCCTGAGACCTGTCAGCCATTGCATCAGGGGAGGGGCACAGTTCTGGGTTCTGCCTAGGAATGGTAGGCTAAGACCTTCCTCAGAAGCATGAGTGTGTGTGTGTGTGAGTGTGTATGTGTATGTGTGTGTGTGTGTGTGTATGTGGTGTGTGTGTGTGTTTGGGGGGGGTACAGTATTTTGCTCTCCAAAAGCTTCAGATATCTATAGAGCTTTAGACAGTCCTTCGAAATAGCCATATCAGGTTCCAAAGAAGAGACTGAGGTAGCTCTCTGTGTCACCTGTTGGGTCTGTCATAGGGACTCAGCTTTCAGATGGGTGGAAAGGTGCCTCAAGTTACACAAACATTTTGTCCAGCGTTTCTAAGAGAATTCCATCGGTATGAATTGCCACAAACTGTGGTGAGCCAGGGTTCTCAGAATGCCCTTTGCAAACTAGGCCATGCCAATGGCGACTCTCACAGAATAAAGCCTGGTCCTCGGTTGCTACCCCTTGGTCAGCCTATCTCCAATGGGTCATATGCCTTTCCTTCACATAAGCTCCAGCACGGAATTGAAGACCTATAGGGGGTTGAGTGGAAGGCACTCAGCCCGCAGCTTGAGGACCAAGGGGTGCCCAGAGGGAAGGCCCTGCTCTGGAGTCCTCACAGACTCTTGTGACTGTAGCAACAAAGGTGGGTTTCAGACACAGACTCTTTGTCCAGACAGAGAAGGTGTTTCCTTTCATGGGCTCCACCCTTTAAGTTGATCAAATGCCTGTGCTAAGTTGTACGGCAAGCGTGTCATACTTGTGACCCGCAGGCCGCATGCGGCCCACAATGAGTATTTTTGCAGCCCAGCCAATATAACAGTGTGTGAGAAACGTTTTAATAAAAAATTCGTAACTTAGTTTTCACAGTATTATTAATAACGAACTACAACGTTTGCTAATGACTGATTACTATAATCATGTTGCATTCATTTCTCTTATGCATCTTACGGTCAGGCGCACCATTTCTCTCCGATAAATCTAGCAGTGAATATTTTAGCAGCCCATTGCCATATCATTAGTCTTGGACTGGCTTGTTTTTGGTGTGCTCAACAGGCAATATCACTTTCGGAGAACAAGAAAAATTGGTTTGTTTGCATTATGCTTATTAATTTGTGCAGTTATTCAGTGTCTGGTAAGTTAATATTCAAGAGAAAATATTAATTTTTATTTAAAAATTATCCTAAGTTAAATATTACTCATTTATTTCAGCCCTTTGTATTCAGCATGATCTATATAAAAAAAAACAAAAACCAAAAAACCTATGTTTCTATGAAAATTGAAGCTTTTGTTTTTTAAACTTGTTTATTTGGCCCATGTTAGCCTTTGAGTTTGGCATGCTTGTTATACAGTCCTGGATATTATTTCCTTTCTCAAAGCATAGTGTGTTCTATGCTATCCCTTTCAAGGTCTTTTCTTTCTATTCTCCTTACTAATAACAACTATCATTTATTGAGCATTTTTAGATGGGCTCTGGGCTTGACACTTTCATATATTCTTCTATCTAATCTAATATCCCTAGGAGACAGGTAGAATTATTCCCATTGGACGAAATGAGGTCTAGGGAGTTTAAATGCATTCCCTACTCTACAAAGTATGTGTTCTCCTGCCTCCTTCTTTTATTTTCTTTCCACACTTTCTCTTATTTCTCTTTCTTTAATACCTTTTTGTGTTCCTCATATTCATTGAAGAATCTCATTTATTTACTCAACCAGAGCACTTATTATACTTTTAGAATCCTACTTTCCAGAGTAATTTTGTAGTAGTACTTTTCGCCTTCCTTAATAGGCCTTAAAAGCCTTGTCCTTTTTCTTAAATTCACATCTTCCACGAGCCTCCTAACAATGTGCACTACATTTGTCACCTGTGCACTAATAAAGTTCAAATACAAACACTTTAGTGACCAGGATTTGATTAAGAGGGGAAGCCAGCCCAACCTGAGCTGTGTGTCTTCCTGGGAGCTTCAGGTTTTCTTCCCTTCTGTAATTTCAGCCACCAGATGGCGCACTCAACACATATATGGGAGAGGACCCAATACTGCCATCTTGGGGGTCTCCCTAATGCTCCCCCCTCTTCTCCCCTCCCCCCCCCCCCCCCCCCCCGCACACACACACTGGCGAAGTGGGGCTTCAAAGTGGGGCTTCTAGTCCATTATTTAAAAGGCATGTATTAAAAAGTCCCCAACTTAGATCTTTCCATCTTTTCTGCAACCAAAGAAAGAAACTAATTAGTGAGACAAGCAAGAAAAGAGAGAGAGGGAGAGAGAGAGAGAGAGAGAGAGAGAGAGAGAGAGAGAGAGAGAGAGAGAGAGAGAGAGAGAGAGAGAGAAAGGAGAGAGATTTATGCTGAGTCAAAGAAAGGCGAAACAAATAAAATTCAAAAGTAGATTTTAGACATACTAATTTTGGAATTCATTGACAAAAAACTGCCTGACATTTGTTGCAAAGTAATCTGGAGGGAAGAAAGGCCAGAATGTGTGAAACAAAATTGCTTTAGAGATACAGAATAGGGTGTAGCTATTTGATGAAAATGAGAATAGAGGTAAGGTGGCATATCCAGAAGGGGGTGTGCTAACTGATCAGACCCACACTGACCTAATCTTCAGTAACTTGAGATCAAGATTCAGGGAAACATGTACCAGGCCCCCTAGAGAAAGCATGGTTTCTGTCACAGAGTTTTTTCCCTTGCACAGAGTAACTCTTGGTGGGTGTTACTGACCTGGAATCAAAACATTGTTCTATTGCCTGAGAAAATCATTTGCTTAAGAGGGAAAAAAGAAAAGGAGGCAAAACACAAGCTCTTCAGTGTGGTCTCGGAGGGAAACCACCTCTCTGTTTCCCCCAGCAGAGCCATTTCGCCATGCTTGTGTGGCAGAGACACAAACGACATTCAAACTAAGGGTAATGCTACATGCTTTTTCTTTCCATTTGCA